TAATAATACTGTTCAATCATACCGGAGAGCGCCAGCCCCCAAGCTCATTTCCCAATTCCGTGTTCTTCGTCATTGAATGCCGGAAACGTCAATCTAGGAATTATGCTATATATCGAAATACGATAATAAACGCATAAATACTAACGAACCAGCACTAAATGTTACACGCGAATAGCGATTACAATTAAATGTCGACTGTAAAGCGGCATTTGCATAATTAATTGAGACAAACCGCGTTCGGTCAAGGCGGTGAAAGAAAAATCTTTAGGTGACGGCTTCAGTCAAGGCGGTGAAAGAAAAATCTTTAGGTGACGGCTTCAGTCAAGGATATGATGGAAGTAGCGCGCGGTCACTTCGCTAAAAAAAGCAATTATTGTTTTTTTTTAATGTAATTATTACACACAAGGATCACCATTATTTTTTCTGATCGCCTATTAATTTTTTTATAATAGTTTTTGAAAGATTTAAAAGATTGTATAGATGACGTCTTGAATAACAATACATTTATTATTGTATATTTACGCATCTCTCATTTAACATGGGAATATTTTTATGGAAGTTATTTGATTTTTTTAATATAAATAATTACTTTGGGTTTGTTTTTACTCTGCAATTAAAATGATTATTATCATCAACATATTATATACTATTGATTGTTTTCCGATTTATTACATTGAGAGAAAAATGTATTATACTAAATTTTAATAAATAATTGCTCAAATAGTACTAATGTAACATTTATTATATTTACGGAAAGTAAATATTTATTTGCTAAATAAAAAATAATAATAATTCAATCTAATTAATGTATCTTTGTATCAAATAAATATATGTTTACTTTAGTAGGTATTAAAATCTGACACTATTAAAACAATTATTTATTTAAAAATTAACGTATTTTTCTCTCCGTGTAGTATTTAAGAACAATGTGGATTTAATTATAATTTTCTGAAAAAAGTAAGGAGGAACCAAACCAATATTACCTATATAAAAAAGAAAATAAACACGTTAAGTACACTGAAAAAAAATTAAATCTTAATACATATTTCTTTGTATAGTATACATAATAAGTATTTTACTTACAGTATATAAATATTTATTCAATAAAAATGATATTTAAATCAAATTAATATTTTTATATTAAATAATTATGTTTTTTATATTTAGTAAATATTTATTTATTTAAATAAATATTTATTAAAATTTAGTTTTTTTTACAGTGTAGCTTATATATATATATATATTTTTTTTAATAAAGATTGTAATTGAATAGAACTTTTTATTGCAGATTTTCGACGGAAAATTGCGTATTTGAAGGTTCGTAATAAATAATTATTAAAAAAGACAGAAAATATATTATACAATATATCCATACAAAATAATACTCTACAATAATTCACATTTTTTCGCTACTGGGGTATAAATATATTCCAGGTGACTATTCCCGCGCGGGTTAATGTCATACGTACATGATAATATCGTTAAAAGAGACACGTTTGGTTTTGAAAATATCACGCATTTCCATCTTGTAGACCGTACAAAATGTAAGCTGATAAGCGTGACAATTGGGATGACGAAACGGTGTAGGCGAAAAATTCATCCAAAAAATTTGCGACATCAGCGGAACGCAAAATAAGACTCCCGTTAATGACTCGGAAGTGTATTACCTCGCTTGTCCGAGGGACGCGCGGATAAACGGATGAATTGAGTTTCAGCGGCGGTGCTGAAAATGTAAATCCTGAATGCAGGCGATCTGCTTTCTCAATTATATCGTCGGTGATGGATGAATCCCAATAGGTGTCCCGTTTTCCCGAAGAAAAGCGACGCTTCCGTTCCCTTTTGTTACGGCCGCTGTGCTTCTCGGGTTTTATTCATAAATACCGCATGACAAGATGTCGCAGCGACGTCAGTCGCTTTATTTCGGAAATCGTCTTCTTTATAAGATTTGAGTCGATAAATACAACGACCATATAATATAAACTTTGCGTATTACATTTATTATGTAACTCGAGCTTCTTGTCAAGTTCATCTCGCGAAAATCAATTTTCCATAATAAATACTTTCGCAGTTAGTCTCTCGAAATTTTTCCGAGTGCAAATTAATAAATATTACATTTTCACCGGTGATGTAATTGTTAAAAGTGTGATGCAACATTAGTGGACTATTCCACAGACCACAGAGAGAAATTAGTGTCGGGCAGTTATTCATCATTCTTTTTGTTCCTTTTACATATAGAAGAAACTTTTCAACCTATCATTATGTGACTGTGCTCGCATATATGTGCTCATTATACTTACACGTGAGACGCAGTCACGTACCGTGAAAATGGGATCTTTCGAGTCTTGTTTGCCGCGTTTTCGGCTATTTTAAGGGAGACGAGCCACGGCGCGGCCTAAGCCAATTACGTAATCAAAGCGCGAAACGTGAAAGACATCCAGACAACCATAATTTACTTTCGGAAGTGTTTGCGTTTCAACGCGAAAGTCGTCATATCATTTTTTTATGCATTTCACGAGATAAATCATTTAACTTCTATTCAGAATATTTTATTCTATCTCTCTTACAGTTTCGACAATGTTTGCTTCGATAAAATGTTCTTCAAAAAGTTGTTGCACTTCCTCTGTTGGGCTTTTATATTATAAAAAGATACTCGTTCTTTTTATATACCTATATATTTTTGTCTATAGAAAATAACATATTTAAAGCTCATTAAAATCTCAGGAGAACACTTCCATTTTTTTGTGAAATAAACTTTTCTCGTGGAGATAAGTAAAATTTGATATGGGTTTAATGGACCCACGTCACCAGTCGAGAGTTAATCGTTTACGATTTAAGAAAGGTGCTATAAGAACGCGTAAGGCTGTACTCGTTCCTTTTTCCATAGGGCATTTTCTCGGGCGTTATGGTGGAAGGATATCGTCAGGGTGGAGAGAAAGAGCTACCGCAATGCAGGCAAGGGCGTTGTCAGGGGCGACCCTAGCGACCCTAAAGCCTCATTCGCACCGAATGTGCTGCGATACGTTTGCGGAACAGCACCCGCGTGTCCGATCGGTCTTTCGATTTCGGTTCAATGTGTCGACTCTGTGCAAACCATAGTTCGTCCGAACCGGTCATTCGGATTTGTGTACTCGTCATTTGTCGACCGCACGTTGGTGTGATGTAAAACCGCTCTCGATTCACACATTCGCAAGCGAATTTCGTAATAAGCCGCAGAACTTGATAGACCACGATGCCGCGCTAATACCACAGCAAAATCTCCTTTCAATTGCCTGTGACTCGGTTTTACTAATGTACGAATAACTTTAATCCCGATTTAACTTATTATTTATTGAACAAAGTATCTTTTAAAATATGTAGTAATGTGAACAAATTGGAAATAAAGACCTTAAATGCTGGATCTTTAGTGGTTAAATAATTTGATTCTCATCAATTTATATACTACATATCCAATTTAGCGAGCAATTTAACAAACAATTTAATAATATTAATGTTTATAGGCGGTTTAAAATCTATCTTAGAGAGTACTCTGACGCTCCGATAACCATCTTAAAATTAGAAAGAGTAAATTGAATTAAGATTATATAAAATTAATCTTACATTAATATAATCGAGCCTGTGACGTCCAAGTTTATGTAGGTCTGTCTCAGATTTTTCTTTTTTCTTTTTCCATCATTTGAATATGTATTATATTTACTTCGTTTTAAACAACAATTTTTGAGGACAAGCAACACGGACAGATTAAACATCAATTAATATTAATATCATTTAAAATTCAATGTTTCTCGAAATATTTGAGTCACGATTTAATTCGTGTATACATTTCCGTGTCTCTCTCTCTTTCTCTCTCTCCCCCCTATTCCAACATTGTTATTTTGTTTTTTTTTTTTTCCATCGACTCATATTTGCAATTTAAAATTGTAAAAGTTTTTCTCTATAATCCAGATATCTCTCGGTGACAGGCTTACCGGTGGGTAATAGGACGCACGACGTAATCCCGTTAATTCCTCGTTATGCAAATGGCGGGACACTCGATTGCGTAATTGTGTTAACCTTCAGTTGAACTGCATCTACATTTCCGGGAGAGACACTTGGGGACATGGATTCTAAAATTCCTCCACGTACACTATAAGTCTTTTAGTTTTAGCTGCACTTTCTGCAATTACCTTGAATCTTTTTGTCCCTTCCTTCGTTCTTCTTACGAGCTCGGAGTATTCGTCTTGTTTCGCTTTAAATGCAGGAAGCGTAAGAAAATGGAGTTGAAAAGGGCACACTTCACGTTCGTCGTTTAAGTTAATTAGGAAAACTAAATTATATACGTTAAAACGAAAGCGCGAGACGGTTACTAATTCTGGCATTGTCTAACTAAATCGGTATTGCGTTTGGAGTGGATTTTAAGAAATCTGAAGTTCATATTATCAATATTCACAATATCGATCAAGATTTGATGTAAGTACCTAATTGATTGATTATCCTTTCATCCGTTCCGCCAATCCTTTCGCGACTCGATGTGAAGGGATAGTCATTAACCAGCCGGGCATAGCAGTGTCGAATTATATCAAGCGCCAAATCAAGCTCCCTGAACTCGTAGGGGGAACCGCTCTCTGTATTTACTCGTCCCATTAACGTCGGATTAGTATGTGGAACGTAAACGCGCGCGTAAAATAGAGACGAGTTAACCGAATTACCATAAATCGATGCCATGCCGTGCCTTTACCGCGTGCTTGCTCTTGCGCCTGCGGCAACATCCACGGCAACATCCAGATGCACAATGGTCGATGATGCCTTGTCTGTGTCCATTGTATCCGATGGACATCCCGCGAGCCGTTAATTCATCGCAGATTTACGTTAACCGTCTCGGTTCGTGCAATAAGTAGATAAAGACGGCCAATATTTAGAAAATTAAGGTCACGTCAACGTGTTAGCCAGTTTGGTGTGAATAGAGAAGGCAATGGAATAAATAACAATAGCAAATAATAAAGGTTTATTTATTTTTGTTGCAGGTTGATTTGAAACCTTTACGAGAGGCGACAGTGGCGGTCCCCGCGCCGAAAATTACCGAGAAGCGAAAAGCTGAGGACGCTGATGCCAGCAAGGATCTGAAGAAGGTAAATATATTCAGCTTGTTTGCGCTGACTGTTTGAGGAGCGATTTAATAAATTACAGCGCGGCTGCGCGGTATTAAAGAAAGTTGCTTTTAAAATGAGGTTGGAATGCCTATGCTTCAAGGATACTATCAATTTACGAGTTACTTCGATATTCAGTATCTCCACACGGAAAAAAAATTTATTGAATTAACCTAAAAAATCTGGCTATAATAATCTGATTATTTGATGAAAAATGAACGATTAAAAATTTTTATTTAATACAACCAAGAAATTTAGTTACTTACATTCTGTTTGATATAACCAGACAAATTTGGTGGTACGCATTCTAGTTACGGCAACCAGATAACATATGGTTACGTATGTCCTGGTTGAAACAACCAAATTATTAGTTGTAATATCATGATATATATTATTAACATAACTAGATTTTTCATTTGATGAACAATCCCAATCTGATTCGAAATAGTTAGAAAAAATTTTTTCTAGGTTACATTATTAGTTTAATTTTACATTTTTTATTAGGGATAGTTAGACAAATAATAACATGTAAATAAATTACAACACTTAAATCCAGCACTTTAATCCGATGTCTTCTGATCCATTTTTGGTACACAAGAAATTTTTGCACAATTTATACCATTCAACCGTCAACGAAGACCATTCAACCGATAGTTGAGAAGATGCCAAGATATCTACCAAACGCAATCGTTAAGAAACAAAATGTGTAACCAAATTTGTCTGGCTAAGATAACGAATATTTTAGATCATTCATATTTAACCAAATAGTCAAGTTGTTATACCCAAGCTTCATATTAATCCAATCAATTTTTTTTTCGCTTGCAAGATCTAAACTATGTTAGTGTTGCATCTAAATATTGTGGTTATGAATACCAGATCTTTTAATTATGATAACCAGAAGTTTTGTTTAATTCTGTCAATACTTTTTTAACATATATGTCACGATAAGCCAACCATGTTTTTTTATCTCCTGCAGTCACAATAACTAGATATTTGGATATTATTATTACATACGCACTAACCAAATTCTAATTATTATGATATCTAAATAGTTTGATTGCGTAACAAAATATTTGATTACAATAACCAGAAATTCTCTTCTACCAAAATTTGCTTAACCAAATATATCATGTTAATTCAACCATGGTTGTTTTTTTCGTGCAAGCTTCACTGACTCCTTTAGAAGCTTCAATTAGTCGGAAAAGCTCGTTGTTTGTTGTTTTATGCGCCGGAGTGATTTTCGGAATTACCAAGGCTTTCTACATCGACCATTTATGACGCATTTCTATTTCTGTCGTTCCATATGTTTCCCGAATCGTATCATTGCACCATACATCGTGTTATCGAGAATCACTGAGTGATTCTCGCATCGGTTAACGCCGCGTTATGCGGCTGTGCTGTTAGCCAAGGGACAGGTATGGATGTCTATTTCCAAGCCCTCGTAACTCACCGAGGGCCGACTGACAGTGCGGGAGAGAGAACGTCGCGCGTTAGAGTTAGAAGCAGATCACGTGTATCTACCCACCATCTATTCGCCGTCGCGTATCTCTGTCGTCCTCGTCGATATTCGGCGCGTCGTGGCGTGAGGCACGGCCTCATTAGTTTACCCGTTCGCTCATTAACGAAATAAACGCAGTCGAGAGGCGGTGAGTCCGGTTGGGCCTTTGAGAAACCCGAGTTATCGATAGTCACCGTTGCACGAAGCCACTGATGGCCTTTAACGTTTAGTTATACTCGGATTATAAGTCTGTTTTTCGATGCGACCAGAGTTTACGACGTTGCCGTAATAGTTGCGATAGAATAGTAAATATGTAGTATAAAAAAAAAAGATATTGGAGAACGACGTTTCTCTCGTTGTAAAGCTGGTTATTGCGACAAATATTGCCAAAGTCTCAATAGTCTAATGAGGATAATTGAGTTTCAAGATCGAGAAAGATTTCAACGTGCTATTTACAGAATTGGTTATATACATATATGTATAAATTCACTCTGAAATATTTAAACAACTAAGATCTATTTTGACCTAAAATAGATTTGTTTCTTAACAGATACAGAAGACTGTCTATATTTTATTCTTAAGATAGACTCATCCTTGTTATATTTTAGCTACACACGGATTACAAGTCTGCTTTTCGATACGCCGAAAGTTAATAACGTTGTCGTAACAGTTACGACAGAATAATATGTGACATAAAAAATCTTCCGCACTTTATTCTTGTAGACTCATCTTCGTCGTAGAGAATCGTCAAGAAAATTGCGCGTTACACAATCCTTTTTTCATGAGAATTACTTCGTGGAATGATCGTTACGTTGCATCTATGCGTTAATGGCGCATTCTCGTTCAAGTGATTTAGCGGAAGCTGTCCAATCGATCGACCATAACGACCAGAAATCATCATGGATAAAAAAGGAAATAAATATTAATTTATTCGATGCATTTCGCGAAGGAAATACGCCGCAATTTATCCCCGCTCTGCGTCCCTTCCTTCCATAATTTGCCTGCGATTAACCCCTGTGATTACCGTTGGCTGTTTATTTTTTCTCACGTTCGAGCAGTAATAGTTTACAGTTTCGCTTCGAGTTAAGCTAAGATAGCTAGGAAATTAATTGCCCAAGGCAGGCGCTTAGGAGTCTCGAGCGAGTACTTCGGCCAAGCAATAGCTCGTTAATCCACCATTGATCTAAGCAAACTCGATAGCGAAGCTCCGAAGACGTGTTTTAAACTCGTATTTAGTGCATTATTTTCCCCTACATTTTAATGCCCGGTTTTTTTTATTTGCTTGTTAACTATAATTAGGCTTAACCTGATGTTGGTAAAAAAATTGTATTTTTCTATGGTTCATCACTAAAGTGGTTTTGTAGTGAATACTTTTATAGGCTCGGTCTTCCATTATTCGTTAAAAATGTCCGTTTCTACCAATGTAATTTAATTTTAATCTCGATTTGACTAACTTTTTATCTTTTTCTAATCTTAAGAATTTGAACTGAAAGAATAAAATTAATCTTTATTGATAGAAAGGAGCATAACTTAGATTTTATCTCACTTGATGATAATGTAAAAATTATTCTAGCTATTATTATAAAAATTATTATCTAATTATTATAAAAAAATTTACACTACTATTTGGTTAAGCCTAACCACAAGTTAATCAGCAAATGAAAGAATCGGACCTTAAAGTTACCACTAGAAAACTATTAGTTTAATGATTCACATCTTTGTATTATCATCAAGTAAAGTGAGGTTGAATCTAAACTAAACCAGAAATAAACTAACCAGAAATGAAAAACTGAACTTAAGACACGCTTGAAAATACATATCTTGCCACGTGTTATTTCAGCGGGAGGAACTTTCGCGGAGAAATGAAACCGAACGAGGATCGTATCGCGCGTGAAACGACGGATGAGTAAGCAGTAAGAGAGGAGGAATTACTCGACATGCGTTTCCTCCGTCCCTCGATCAAACGTGACGGATCCAATCGATTTTGGCGCAATGGTTGAAACAAAATCACCTTAACGGAAATGTCGCGCGGCAAACAGCCCATGCACAGCAACAGGCGGCGACAAGCCGTGCCAGAGATTCGAGGCGAGGTGTTTGTGTGCGTGTGTATGTGCATTTGCGCTGGATGGTCGTTCTCCATTTTCGTTGCTCCTTTTACAACTACGTTGTGACCCGGCGTTGAGAAAGTACATTACGCTGAATGTCGCAGCTACTATACGACGTCACCTTTTGCGCGGATTTACTCCCTTCCTCGTACTCTGTCTTGCGCTTCGCACAAGAAGGGGTCGCGAAACTCTTTGCGCGTCACGATGAAAGAAACGCTCTTGGTAAGGTAGACGATACGTTACACCTAGACGCGCGAAAGTAATTTATCTCGCCGAGTCCCCGAGTGCAATGACGACTCTCTCTTTTTCTTCTATTCCAACGTGTCGTAAATTAGCCCCGGGAATACGCATGCGATGACAGATTGTTGCGCGCGAGCGACTCGATGATGAAGTAAGATATGTCGTGTGCGCGACTTAAAGGACTATCTACAATGGGAGTAATATGATGCAGTAAGTCGTAAGAAATGTATCGGTACGACTAGATGTCAAAAGATGTAGTGGTAACCCAATCCTTCGAGTTAAATAACATTTTATTATTTTTGACTTTTGTGTCAAGGTATAAATTAATCCATTTCTGTGATTAGTTGTCTCCAAGTAAACATCGTCTATATCAATATACGATATTCTGTTAAATCTTTTGGAGTGGAATCTAATTCTAAAGAGTGACAAGGAGTGTGACGATTGAGCTAGTGTTGAAAAAAGGTGGTTCAATTGTCAATTTTTAAGAGATTTCATTCTTTAGAGTTAGATTTTACTCCAAAGATTTTAGAGAATATAAACTTAGTAAATAATAAATTAAATTTGAGTCAAATTTAATACATTTTCTTAAATTAAATCAATTAACTTAATTGTTTTAGTCAAATTAACGATATATTGACCTTATAATTACTAATTACGTCAATAAGGAATTTTATTCTACTTTGTCGTCTACATGTTTTAATTCATCTTTATTTTATTCTTTTCATCAATCAATTTCAGGCTGTCTTCTCTCATATTGTAGTCAAATATTTCAACCTATTATCTAATGATATTCATTCTTCTACTTCTAACTTTACATTCAGATCAAATCAGCTGCTTCTCTTTACATAGTTTCTCATTTTTTAATATAATCCGTACATTGCATCTTTATATCTTATTTTTATTTCATTTTTTCATGCTTTTGTTTTTCATCATATTTACTATAGTAGTCTCATAATGGCGAAACTCGTTATTCACTGTTATATAGTTTTCATTATAAAACCTTTATCAAGGTCCAGGCATATACTATAAGCACTTTGCTGATGCCTTATCTTTTAGGGTGCTCGTTCTAAAATTACATCGTGTAGCATGTTTATAAATTTATATTTTTTGACACGTTAATAAAATCTATTATTAATATT